TTTTGACGAAAATAGTCTCAGTTGCCCACGTGTGCCTCTCATGATCCTCCACCTCGTCTCCTCATTTCAACAGACTTTCTAAAAGTTGTTTTTATGTGTTTTTTTACATTAGAACTTTAAAATTTCATTATTTGAATTCTGATGTCTTATAAAATTCGAAAATTTGACCCAAAAAAAAAAGGAAAGAAGGTCAAGTAGGTTTATTTAGGGACTACATGTGCACTTTTAAATTAAAAAATAAGATTATATAAGTCTATCTAAATTTTGTTTATACACTTTTAAATTTAAAAATAAGATCAAATAGGTATATCTAGTACTTGTCTGTGCGTTTTTAAATAAAAAATAAGAACATATAGGTCTATCTAGGGTCTATTTGGTTCAAATTTTTGGAATTCAATTTTATAAATAATTTATTTTATTTTTTATTTTTAGTGAATTTCTTTAATATTTTAAACATTTTTTTTAATTTTAAATACTCTTAATCTAAATACAATTAAAGTATAATATTTGTGAATTTTTATTCACTAAATAAAAATACAAAAATTTAATATATTTTTATATTTTTGTATATTTACTGATTTTTAAAATATTTTTTTTAATAAATATTTTACTTTTTAGGTATATCTAGATTAGGGTCCCGTATGAAAAGTTGGCTACTATAGTAGGCTATTTTAGTTTTTATGTATTTTAGTAGACTAAAATAGTTGTGTTTAGAAATATGATTAGATTTTTTTGTAATTAGATGTGATGTTATAAAAAAAAAATGAAATGATTATGAATTTGATATGATATTTTTTCTTATTGGACAATTTAGCCTAGTTTATCTTTTAGTACTATTTTAACTAAAAAAGTCCAAAAAACCTCTTTCCAAACATCCTATGAGCATCTAAAAAGTAAAAAAATTTCTTAAAATATTTAAAAAATTCATTAAAAATAAAAAAAGACACACGAAATAAAAAAATAAAAAAACTTAATTTATGGAAAATTGAATTCAAAAAATTGGAGCTAAGGTGATATGTAACTATTTTGAGAAGATTATTATAATCAGTTTTTTGATTAAAAATTGATTATAAGTCGCTTTTTGTGAGAGACAGATGTGAGTTATATTCTAGGAAGTGGATTATAACCCACTTTCCAAAAGACCCCGTATTCGGCTTCTATGTGCACTTTAAATTAAAATGAATATTTAAGTTTATTTGGCGTCTATTTGTATACTTTTAAATTAAAAAATAAAGAAAAATCTATCTATTTGAAATATATATGTCCACTTTTAAATTTAAAAATTGAGACAAATGGATCACAAATAATGCGTTACGCTTTATCTTTGCATTGTGATCATATTTGATTCATAAGATTAATAGTGAGATATTAATAATTCTATCAAATTAGTGTGATATTCACTATTCAATTGGATTAATAGGATAAGTTATCCATTAGATTAATAATTTCACCCCTACCCCATTACTAATAATACTACAAATTTGTTGGATTAATTATCTATTGGATTAATAATTCTAAACTAAAATATTAAAACAAACATAGGATAATTGGATCCACCGATTAATAATTTCAATTCTATACTTTAATCCATCCAATCAAACATGCCATCTATGTGCTATCTTGTTCAAATATAATAATACCCATATTATAAATAATCTCTACCAATTAAAAAAATTACAAAAGCTAAACATTTACTAGAATGTCAAATAACATACTAACTTATTTATTGACTAATAAAAGTTATAAAGTATTTTTATTTATTTATTTTTTATGAATTAAATATCATTGTTCCAAATTATTTTTGGTAGTATTTTTTTTTAAAATTCAAATTTGAAAAACACAACAAAAACAAAAATAAGCATACATATTTTTCTCCATCTTCCCCTAAATTTTCCATCTTACCAAACAGAGTAGTAGAAAAATATCATTACTCATCTCATCGGGGGCCAAATTATCATATTGCGAGAAAATCAAGAGTGGCGGACATGACGGGTACGAGGTACATCAAATGTCATAATTTTTTTATTGAGGTGCGGCATGGCGACGTGTACGGAAACACTTTACTTAACAATTAAAAAATTATTTTAAAATTATATTTTGATAATTTCGTATTTGTTACTGTAATTACTAATCAAACCTCCACCATCGACTAAAAATTTAATGAACCATGCTGCAGACTCCCAGTAATGGTCGCATCTTCAGTGAGGTAGCGAGTCCCTACTATTGAAACAACAAAAAAATAATAATATAAATAATTTTTTTTTATCCATTCACAGCGGTGCCACCTCATGCCCCAGTGAGGGTTGAAGCATTTTCCAAATTTAATATTACAATGATTCAAAATAATCAATATATTTGGTTTTAATTTTTGAATTAATTTTTAAATTTTTTAATTTTTTATTTTAGTAAATATTTTTAAAATTTTAAACAATTTTTTTAGTTTTTTGAGAATTATTTTACTTAAATGTATCTAAATAATAAAATATTTGTGAAAAATATTTTTAAAAATTAATAAATATACAAAAATATGAAAAATATACTGAATTTTTATTTTTTTTATTTATATTTTTTGGTATTTAGTGAATTTTGTAAAGAATATTTTTTTACAAATATTGTGTTTTTTAAGTGTATTTATGTTAGGTGTGTTTAAAAATTAAAAAGATTGCTTAAAACAATAAAAAAAATTGAAAATATTAAAATACGGAAAATAAAAAAGTATAGTTTTCTAAAAACTGTTTCCTGAAAATCAAAACCAAACAAGTGGAATAGTTCTTTTTAGAGAATTTAATTTTTTAGTAGTACAATTATTGCATTTTAAAAATATTATTTTTTTTAAAATTACCAATTGATAGTATATTTTTTTGAGAACAACAATGCTGGGACCCCCAGTGCCATGTGTCGGCCTGTCATTGGATGAAAAAAAAAAAACTGTTTTTTGGGCCAATCATAGGAGACCCCAGCACCCCTACTGGGGTCTCAAGCTTTATTCTTTTGAGAATGTCAATTGTCATGATTGTACTTTTTATGTTGTGAATGAATTTAGGGCAAAATAAAAAATTCATATTATTTTAGTCCTTAATTTTTGAAAATGGACTAATATTTTGAGATAATAAAAAACAGAATAATGAACTAATATTTTGGGACAGAGAGAGTATCAAATATTTTTACTTTTTTTGTCTCAAAATATTGGTTCCTTATTTTATTTTTTATTATTCCAAAATATTAGTCATTTTTCAAAAATTAATGACTAAAATAATATGAATTTTTTGTTTTGACATTTTTTAAAATTTATTAATAATATAAAAAGTATAATTACGACAATTGATATTTTTTTAAAAATATACTATCAAAAAGTAATTTTAAAAAATTAATTTTTTAAAATACAATAATTGTATTATTAAAAAAATTAGATTTTAAAAAAAAAATTATAATTTTAAGACGGATGAAATAATAAAAGATAAATTCTATAAGTAAACAGTCAACTCTTACCTTTTAAGACAAATGGTAAAAATTTATTAAACAATGACGTAGTATTATTAATAAATAATAAATTTTACAATAATAATTTATCCCACTAAAAATATCACCATTAATAGCACTAATGTATTAAAAAAGTAAAAAAAAAAAAAAATACAACTCCAAGACCAAAACATCACATCATTAATAACGGGACCCACTACCACCTAATTAGTGGGAGCACTAATTAGTGCTCCCAAGCATTTTTCTAAATTTTATTATGCAAGATATTCGTGGAACAGGAAACGAAACTCAACAACTCTAAATATTAAAAAAGTATTACATGCTGATATCAATAACTCGTATTAAAGTTTTTTTTTTTTTCGCTCTCTCTCCATCCTTTTCACATTTAATTCTCTTAACTCAATGTTTTTTTTTTTAATACCAAAATTAGATTGTTTTCAAACTCAGGCTTGGTTTGAGGGTTGCTTTTTAACTTTTTTTTGAATTTTTTATTATTTTAATCTTGATTAAAAAATTTGATTTGATAAGAACTTTTAAATTTTTTAATTTTTTTTTAAGAGAGAGAATATAATCATTATGGATTGAGTGTGATGTTTTACCTTATTAAAACCAAAAAATTTATTTTATTTTTTATAACTATTTTAACCCCTAACTCACCCAAACCCACCTCCCAAACAATGGCTCAGGTGTTTTATGTAAGTTTAAGGAGGTATTTGAAAATCGAATTTTTATAAGTAGTTTTTTTTAAAATTTAATTTTTTAATAAAAAAAACATATAAAAATATAAAAAATAATTTAACATTTTTGTGGTAACTTTTTAGTTATTGTAGCCCATCAAATAGGGCTTAAGTAGTTATAAATTTATTTTTTAAATTCAAATTATTTAATGATTTAAAACTAAAATTGTATTTTTAAATATAATTTTCATTAATTTATTGTGAATTTTAAAATACCCTAACTTCTAAAATAGTATTTTGGAGACATGATTTCGGCTGAATTTAAAAATTAAGTTTAAAATCGTTTAAAATTGACAATTTTATTTTTAAATAATCATATTAAATTTAAATTTAAATTTAATCTTTATGAGCCCAAATATGACGGTCAAATTTAAATTTTAAATTTAAGATAAACCTAACTCTTTAAAATAAGAGACAATTACACTGTAGTGGATGTAGTAAAAATTAATAATTTTAATTATTAATACTTATGATATTTTATATATTTTTGTAATTATTTTCTTCTGAATTTCTCCTTAAAATAACCTAGGTTCGGTGAAGAAATTCCTCTCAAATTATTTTGACACCAAACAAGGTGTTAGAAACCAAGTTAAAAAATTCTCCCTCAACTTTGACACCAAAAAGATGTTAGCAAATAGACCCCGTTTGGCTATAAATGGAATCTTATCTTGAACGAGATCTACTACTCCAGCCAGTTTCTATCTCTAGTTTCTCTCTCCTATTTTCAGCTTTTTTTTTTTTTTTTTTCTCTCTCTATACAGCTCATTGGCGACTTTCTGAAGTGGTGTGAATCCTATAAAGATAATTTCAATAACAAACTGGCCAATCGTTATTTTGAGAAGATAATTAAAAATTATTTTTTAATTTTTAATTTATTTTAGATCCTATAAATTTTCACATTTTTTACGCATTATTTAAAAAAAAAAATTTAAAAACTAACTTCTATTAATATTCCCAAACTCATCAATGAAATGAAATATACTTTTCTTGCTCTTTCTTGAGAGCTCCTTCCTCTTTGGTTTTTTTGCAGGTTTTCTTTTTTGCTTTCTCTCTCTCTCTAGGGTTGGTTTCATATACTATTCCTCTCTTGAATTAGAAATGTTGCCACTCATTATAATACCCATATCAATCTCTCCAACTTTCTCTCTACATTTTTCCATATTTAGACTTCTGTTCTCTCTCCACAAACCTAGCGTTGATTCTACTTTTGTTGATTTTGTGTTCAAGGGTTTGTTTTTAAATTCACAGCTTAACTCAATGTGTCAATCTCTATTTTTATTCAATAAATAAATAAAAAGAAAGAAAACCCATATTTTTCCTCCAACTTTCTCTCTAAATACCAGTTTGGATTGATGCTGTGGTTGATTTTCTGTGAAGGGTTTGCTTTGAATTTTCCCGGGAAAATGGTGAGGCAAAGGATTCAGATCAAGAAGATCGACAACGTGACGTCGAGGCAGGTGACTTTTTCTAAGCGAAGAAAAGGGCTTTTCAAGAAAGCTCAAGAACTCTCAACCCTCTGTGATGCTGAGATAGCTCTTATTGTCTTCTCTGCAACTGGCAAGCTTTTTGAGTTCTCCAGCTCAAGGTTACTTCTCCTCTCTTTCTCTCTTTCTTTTTTTTTTTTTTTTCACTTTCTTGATCAATCTTTGTGTGCACTCCATAGAGAGATAAAGAGATATGGGTTTTAGGGATTGAACAAAACTACAAAGTGAACAAAACTCTCAATCTGTGTGTATGAGAGAGAGAGAGAGAGGGAGAGAGAGAGAGAGAGGGTTGTCCTTGTCACTTGAAGTGCACCTCTTTGATGAGTAGAGACATTACTTGTGTTGAGAGTCTACAGCGTTTTTGATACTTTTATATCAAAGTGTGTCATGTACTCAACATCTCAAGCAGGTAAACAACTTCATAGGCTTTCTGGTTTTTTAGAAGGTTTAGTGTGATTAATAACTTGGCATTTTGATATTAATTTTCCCCCTTAAATGAAGAAAAAATACTTATAGCAATAAATGTGAATACCATATATATAATTTCAATAGATCCTTGTCCAGGAGTATAAAAACCCCCAATCTCCGTCCTCCTAAAAGGATAACAGAGTGCACGAGACTTTCGTTAAAGTGAAACTGACAAAATGTAGTCTTATTTTACTTTTAGAAAGATTGTTTATGTGATTGGGTTAAGCAGCCACGATGCTAAAATAATGAAAGAGCAACCAATTGTCACGAGGAATCGATATAATATAAGCAAAAGAGAAGGAACAAAAAGATGATCAATCCTAATTCAAGGCACTCATCCAACAGGCGAAAAAACAAATGTCGTGCTAGCAATGAAAGGGAACAAATTGATTAACCTTATTATCTCAATGTATCTTTCTCTTAGTTAATAAAATTTTACCCTTTTTTTTGTTGATAAAGAAAAAAGACCTCAATTTAGTTTCACACGCCAATTTAAATTTTGGTTACTTGTCAAGTAAAAATGCTAGGGCTTGTGAACAAAAACTAGTCTATGACTTGAGAAAGATAATATAGAAGAATCTCTGATTTGTTATACTTATTTACTTAATTCAATTATCATATGCTTGTGGATTTACTTGGCCTTTCGAATCATTTCACTAAGTTTTTTGAGTCTAGATCCTCTAAAGTTAACTTGTACAGCTTTTTATACATCAAGTTCCTAATAGATTCACATAACTGTTTAAAAACTGATTCAATGTACGTATATATACCCATATATTTTCTTCTTTGTTTTAAATTTTATACATATCCATGTACGCAGTCTATTGACCAATTAAGAAATTACTTTATAATTTACTAAACAAATTAATCACAAAAGAGTCAGACTCAAATTTTACGGGCTTAATTAAGTCATATTTATTCAACATGAAATTAGTTTAATTCTAATAGTGGCTTAAATTGCATAATTTGGTGCAATGTATTGTAGAGGTTGCATCATTTTATGTTAGTACACCAAGTTGGTATAGTGGTTCATTTTGACCAATTTTTGGGAATTCTATTTGTTTTTATGACCCCAACAAAATATCCATGAAAGGTACACAAAAAAGATTTGATTATAGAACTATACTAAAATCATTTATAATTATAGTACAGTACTTGTATCTGTGCAATCTGAAAATCCTTATCATGAAGATTACATCAGCATATCAATTGCCTTGCTAGTTGCTAGCAAGTTACTAGGAGCATTTCTCATATGATCCTTAAATTCTTTTCTAGTGTCATGTGTTGATTTATACAAAATAGTTGGAAATTTTATTTTTTTAGCAAACAATTTTGTTTGTTTATTTATATTCCTCCCCCCCTCCCTCCCTCCCTCCCTCCCTCTCTAATGAGTGTGTTAACACACACTATAAGAAATAATACTTTTAGCGATCAACTTTTTGGTTGCAGAAAGGTTATATTTGGTCGCTAATAGTTTTTAGCGACATAAAAAAGTTGGTCGCCAATTAGCGATCAACTTTTTGGTCGCAGAAAGCTTATATCTGGTCGCTAATAGTTTTTAGCGACCTAAAAAAGTTGGTCGCCAATTAGTCGCCAAAAGCTCGTCATAGAAGGTTTTGGTGACCAGAAGTGAAGTTGGTCACGGAAAGTTATAATTTGCGACCACATATTTTGGTCACAGAAAGGATTTTAATTTGTCAAAAGTTGATCATTCTGCGACCAAAAATTTGGTCACTGAAAGTTAACATTTGCGATCACCAATTTTTGGTCGCTGAAAGGGTTTAAATTTGTTGAAAATCCGAATTCGTGACTATTTATTTAATCGCTGAAAGTCTATGCTTTAGTGTCCATGGTTAGCAATAGTTATTCCTAGAACCTTCTCAAACACCTATTGCAACTAAAATTTTATTGGTAACAAAAGAGCTTTTAATTTCAAAAATTAGTTTTTTAAATCTAATACTATTTTTTTAATACCTATAATACATTTACAATTAATGCATAATTCATGTCCATCCAATCAATTTTAGCATACCAATCCATCAACGATTAATCTAGAAACAAAAAACCTTCGACTATAAAATCAAAATAATAGTTAATTTATCTAATGACGACCACTTATCCACATGAACACGTTACAAGTCCAAAATAACTATCCATTCGTTTAGTTTACAACGAATTTACATCAAAAATATATTTATCAGAACCATCAAAGATTTCAAAAACCATTAATATCCAAGTGCGTGTCATATTTTTCCGATGCGAAATATATCAAAAAAAAAGAAAAGAAAGTATAATCACAACTTAGAATTAATGCACCAGCAAACTCAGGTCCATAAACACACATGACTGCACCTCTGCTACCTACAATAAAAAAAAAATGAAGAAAGCGTTGTTAATAATAATATTTTTGCATACATTTCTATTTAATTTTTTAAAAATCTATGGATCTAATTCCACTCCCAAAACTAGCAATCACACACAGTCTTACTGCCCACATCAAAAAAATAAAATAAAATAAACAAAATAGGGAATTAATCTAACTAGAGAATGTTTCATTGATGGTTGCAACTATCATCAAAGTTTTCAAAAACATTTATTAATTTTCATGATAGGAAACACGTAGAAATATTCAAATGAGTCACAAGCAACTTGAAAAGCTAAAAGGAATGTCAATTCTAACCAGACTTCTTACCCTTAGGATTGGATTTTTATAGTTATTTCCTAGTAGAACTAAGATTTCCCTAAGTAGAATTAACTCAACGTACCAATTACATTCCCATTAAAATTAATCAACATTTGAAAAATAAAGAATGAGTTAAGCTTACAAAAAATAAGAAATCAAACGTGCCTTATTGTATTAAAACAATGTTAGGGTTTAAAAAATTAACCACAAATTTTATATATAGCAAAAACTTTGTTTTGGTTGGGGGGGGGGGGGGGGGAAGAAAAGGAAAAATCCAGACAAGGTTGAAGAAACAATTATCTTTAGCGATAAGGTAAAAGAAATGATTCTATTCAGTGCAGAAGTACATCCGAAAAATCTTGGTAATATACTTCATCTATTTCTCTACAATGGAGTTGGAAATTAAAGAATTATTTCTTGCTCACCTTGCAAGAATGACAAAAAACAAAATTTGGTCTAAAAACTGACAATCAAACAAATGAAGAAAAAAAAAAGTCAGCAAAAAGCCGGCCATTAACATATCAATTTGGAAAAAATTTACTGACATAATTGCTAATAAATTCACAATTTAAAACTATAGCATAACATAATTATACCGAATATGACAAAAAGTAGTACAAAGGTACTTTTTTTTTTTTTGATCAACAAAGAAAATCTTTATTGATGAAGAAAACATACATTACATATGAGATTATATCAATAAGGATGGAAAGGAAAAAAGAAAAAAAAGGAACAAAGCATAATGTTGGTGAGAAACCAACACTAGCTTGAAGATTGCTTCTTTAGTACAAAGGTACTTCTGATTGCTTTTTTAGGCAACCATCAAATGGAACCAGTTAACAAAGTGGATGAATGATGCCATTGTTTTGTAAGGAAAACAATCATTGATGTTGTAAAAACTTCACCGTTAAACATTTTAGAGTAACAAAAGTCAAAATGGGGATGTCACTCAGTTTTGTGGTGCTGGACTACGATCGGCCTAATAATACTTTAAGGACATAAAACAAATTATTAATTACAAAAGAAGGTGAAAAGGAAATTACTTGCTCCACCATAGAGGTTTTGATATACCAAGGTGCAACAGCGTTACTCCTGATATTGTCTTTTGCCCACTCACATGACAAATTCCTTGTAAGTTGATTAATTGCTCCTGGGAGTGATTACAACTTTTTGTTACATAAACTCTACAAGCGTACTGCAAAATCTTGCAATAATGATCAGATCAAAAAAGTAAATTACTTTTAGTTGCTCCATGGACAGACATAGACTTCAGCAACACAAAACCGAAGTCAGAGGAAGTGAATACAACACTTCCTACTCCTGATGCTTTTAAAAGAGGATGTGCAAGTTGGCACATATGAAAAACAGATTTGAATTTCATTGCAAAGAGTGTAGCATATTCTTTGGCAGTGATCTCTACCATTGGCTTCCTTATGTTGGTTCCAACATTATTAATCTATAGATTTAAACCACAAAATCCAATGGCCTCATAAGTTCAGTAGATGGGAAAAGCACGATGAAATGATGCATTGCAATTCTAAAATGTGGATCCCTGGAAAAGAAGATATACAGATCATAGCTGGGGCTCTTAAGTTCAAATCTCATCACATAAGGGAAGAATCAGTAAAACATCTAAGTTGCAACCATGTTTGAAGGGACACGACACCAACACACCACCTTTTTAGAAGTGTCCATGTTTCTTAGCTTGTGACTTGTCTCATACAGTACAATTGATAATTAGGACCTCTTATCAACAACTTGGATGTCTTTGAGCCATAATTTCATTATTGCCTTGACTCAATTGCATCCAATGTAGAAAAGAGTTACTTGGGCTGGGGCAGAAGCAATTCCGTAAAAATTCTGCAAAACTGTAAAGCTTCTTTGGGAACATTATGGCTGTATTTGGATCATGGATTTGGATAGAGACTTGAAAGAAAAAGAAAAAATGTAAGTGAAATATAGTTATATTTTATTCACCTTTTTTCCCTTTCCTTTTCATTTTTCAAATCCTTATTCACATCTATGATCCAAACACAGCCTATATGAATCCTCGATAAGAACATTTCAAGTTATTTTAAGTAGTATGTCAGTTCCCAACTCCCACAAAATGAACACAACCATAGCTTTGAGCTCAACTACAAAGCTTTCTAATCTATATTACTTAGGCTTGTAATTATGAACATCAACATTAATTTAAACTAATGTCCACTTTAAATCTACAAAATCTCACACAAAAGCACACAATGCTTTGTTTAACTTCTCATCATCATCATCACCAAGACATTTATGCACAAAATCAATCAACTAAATATTTTAAAGCATGCAAAAAATGGGAATATGGAGACTTACGAGAATGTTGAGCTTGCCGTTGAAGACAAAGGAGACAGAGTCCATTAGCTCCTCTCGCTGGGGGCGAGACGACACATCACAAACCGAACCCGTGACTCCTAATCCTTCATCTTCCCAATCTCCCAAACACCTCTTCAGCTCCATTTCGTTCCAAGCACAGGTATGCACTTTCGCCCCAAGTCCCGTCAGTTCCTCCATAATCACATGCCTACATAAATGTAATTACACCTAGATTCCAATTTCAAAATTAGGGTTCTACGACAAAAACCCATTACATATATATATATATATATAAAGGGAGAGAGAGGGGGGGGAACCCGAATTCGCGAGTGCCGTCGGTGACGAGAGCAGTCATTCGATGGAGGGACCATCTTCTGCTATTGGGTAGGCTTAAAATGGTGGTGGTGAATCGAAGAGAGCGATTGTTGTTGATTGAGAGATAACTATGAACAGTAGTTTCTGAAGATCAAAGCTTTAGAGATGGATTCAATGACAAAAGTGAAGAGTTTGCTCCGAAGAGGGTCTAAGAGTGAGATATAGGCGAGTGTGTGACCTTTTGACTCCCCAAGTCCTACGTCCAAAATTAGGCCAAGTACTGCAGTCCGTTTAGATCATATCATAAGTAAGAAAACTGAAAAATGAGAATTAAAAATTAATGTATAATTTTTTAAGTTGAAAAATCATTTGATAAAAATTTAAGTATTGAACTAAAAATAAGTTGTTTGATATTTATAAAATTAAGTTTAAAATTTATTCTTTTTAAATTGAATATTTCAATTTTTATATTGTGATGGTGGTGGTAATGGTGGCGATGATCCTATGATGGTCGTAGTGGTGGTGGTAGTGTTGGCATGGTGGTGATGGTGGTAGCATTGATAGTAGTTGTGGTGATGGTAGCAGTAGCGTTGATGGTGGTGGCGATGATGGCAATAGTGATAATAGTAGTAGTAAAATGATAGTGGTGCTTATAGTAACAATGACAATAGTGACGAAGGTAGTGGTGGTGGTAGTGGTGGTGGCGGTGATGGCAACGGCGGCGGTATGATGGTGATGGTAGTGGTAGTGTTAGCAGTGGCATGGTGGACATAGGGGTAGCGATGGCAGTGGTGGTAATGGTAACGGTGGTGGTGGTGGTAGTGGGTTTATAATAGTGAATATCGATGCTTAGGTTTAATATTTATAACAATAAAAAAAAAAATTGCTATATTTCCCTATTTCATCATCCCCAATTACACTTCTAATGAGGTGGCAAATAACTTTGCAAGGAGAGAGGAGAGTTTGAAGAAAGTTGTTTGGTTGGTATTGTTTACCATCTCATTAGAGGTGCAATTGGGGAAAGGGTGATGAAATGGGGGATGGAGCATTTCTTTTTATAAATTCAGTCTGAATTAAATAAATTTTATATGATTTAAAATTTTCTTAAATTTTTGACTATATTTTAAAAGACATAAATTTTAAAGTTATATCAATTGTGGTTATCAAACAAACTTAATTGATTATCATTTAATACATTCAGTTTTAAGTCCTAAATTAGATTATCAAATAACCCTATAGAGTCTCATTTATTAACATTGTATTTTACTTAAAAAATAACCATTTTGTTTTCTATGACCACAATTCACTTGGTCACCAAAAGTTTAGAAATCCCGCCTAATTTTTTCGCTCTCCCACCACTACCTTCAATGACCAGCAAAAGGTTCTATATTGGTTACCAAAGGGCTGTTGGTCACTAAAACTTTGATCATTCGCGACTAAAATTTATTTTGGTCGCAGAAAGTAAACTATTTGTGACAAATTCTGGGTGTGGTGCAAAATGTAGTCGCCAAAAGATTTTGAGATCCCGCTTTTTTTTTTTTTTCCGTCTCCTTCCATTACTTTCCGCGACCATATTTCTTTTTTTAGTCGCAAAAAATTGCCTATTAGCTACCAAAATGACATTGGTTGCAAAAACAAAACTTATCAGCAACCAAAAAAATGTTAGTCGCAAAAAGTCAACTATCTACGACTAACTCAAAAAAGGTGGTCGCCAAAAGTGTTTTTTCTTATAGTGACAAAATGTGCTAACTTATGTGTTAGTGTCATAAAATAAGTTAAATAGCGTATTAACTGTAGAGCGAATGTTAGCAAAGAGGAGAGAGAGAGAGAGAGATAAGAGAAAGGGAAAGGGAAAGGGAAAGGGAAAAGGCACTGACACATGTAGGCATGTGTTAGTGAGGGAGAGAAGAGTGAGAAAGAGATTTATTTCATTTTTTAAAATTTTATATCCACTTAATGTTGGGAATTTATATACTTAACCATAAGCATGAATAAGACTAAGGCCTCGTTTGGGAACAGACTATTTTAGTAACTTTTTGATTTTTTTAGCTAAAATATGAGGTAAAAAAAATTAGTATGTTTTTGATGACTTTTTAGCTTTTTACGAAAAGATGTGCAAAAGTAAAGAGAAAATGAAATCTATGACTTTTTGGTATAAGTTGTTGGTTTTTTTATTTTTTTAGTAACTTTTTGACTTTTAAGTTAAAACAGTCACTTGCCAAACGAGGCCTCACCAATTCAAGCATATAAAAACACAAGAATTTACATGATTAGCCTCAAATTAGGGCTATGCCTATTGTTGTTGCGATTTTTTCACTATAATCAAGAAGATACAAGATATATAAATAGTCGTCTCCCCCATATTGGGATCCACACTACCCTAGCACTTTACTACCTACATTAATAAACACTTAACTCACAAAATTAGGTCTTACTTTTATCACTTATGTCAATTAACACAAACTTTAACACACTTCGTCTTGGCCTTTGCTTATTGATGTTTTTGTGGTATACTATATCAGTGGAGGTTTTCTTTGCTGATAAAAAAAACACAAACTCTAATATATAATTTCAACTATTCCAGTGGGGATACTCTAACCATCACTTTAGCAATTATAGGAATTAACAATTTTTTGGAGAAGAGATATGGAAAAGATGGTAATGATAATATTTTGATAAAAATGTCAAGATAATAAAACCTGTCTTGTGGGGGAAAAAAAAAGTGGCTTAACCATATATGCTTCTCTTCATCTCTCATTTTCCTTTCTACTTTTTTAGGTTTTCTAGTAATAATTTAAGATTTTTCTTTATTTTAAAATATTTTCTTTAATAAAAAGAGGCAAATAGAAATATCTATTTCAAAATATTTCGTAATGTTTTATTGAGTGTCCGTATGTTTTAGTGGAAACAATATGGAATTTTGATTTTCCACTTATGTTTTGTGTTTGATTCGTAGGAAATATAAATGTTTTGGTCCTTTGGATGGAAACAACACAAAATTTGTTCCTTGTGTAGCCATGTAAATAGTTTAACCTCTTATGTTTACCAATGGCAAGTCTAAGGCTTCTAAATTTCATTCTTAAACTAAATAATTCACGGCATTTTGAATTTTCTTTTGTTGACATTTTTTGGTAAAATAGTTAAAAATTGGAATATTTTTTAATAGTTATTGGCAAAAGTTGGTTGTTAGTTGTTAAATTAGCACCTATAGGAGTTAGACTCTCCACCCTTGCAAAACACTAAGAGTTTGCCTTCTCATTCAACTCCCCAAGAGGAGTTGAACCATAACTTCCCCCTTGGAACTAAGCCCTTAGGAGAGTCATGGTGGCCAACTAGGCCTAGTTGGTTCTAGAACAACGATCTTTAGGATAGCCATATGAAATATTTCCTAAACTATGCACAAATTCAAATAATTTCTCGACATTCTATTATCCTTAAGAAAGAAAATTTTGATTTATTTGTTCTTGCAATTGGCATCTCTCTCTCAAGTGCATCATTCAACCATATATGAATTGTAGATTCTAAGCATATTGTGGTTCATGCCAATGTATCTTTAAGGATGATTTGGTATGCATTTAATTTTAACAACCAATATCAACTACATCAACCAAGTAAGATTTTTCAATAATCTCAAAAAATTGCCTTTGATTATTTCTTCAATTCATATTATTTTGTAGACACATGCAAAGTAAAGCACTCCATTGTGCTTTAAACTACATTGCTTGTTTGGCGACTTGACTTTTTGACTTTTTTTTGGGTGAATTTTTAGCTTTTTTATTCAAAAAAATCACATGTTTAGTGTCAACTTAAGTTTTATTTTTATGAATTAATTTTAGAGGTTAAATTTTCTTTGACAGATTTTATGACATTATTAGGTTTTATTAGGTAGAAGTATTTTGATAATATTACAAATTATTAAACCTAAGCTCTAGGGGTAATCATACGGGGTCAAGTTATGCTTTTAAGTCTTATATGTGGTTATTATTTGGGTCTAGAAACAATAGATCCCTTTTGACCTCCAAAACCCTAGCCAATCCATTTCAAATCATTTTCATCTCTTTCTTCTTCCCTTTTGACATTAAATTTACACTATAACACCATAAAATAGTTGTTGTCTGGAGATTTTCTGTGCCTTATCTGAAAAATAATGCAATTTGCAATTTTTTAAAATCAAGCCAAAACTCATATTTTCCATCTTCAAGCCCTAGAATCAGTTTTCTACCTCTAGAACTAATTGTATAATTCATTTATACCGTAATCCAACTACAAACCAAATAGAAAATGGTTTAAAATCTTTGTTTCCTAAAATTGTCTTTCATCAGTTCATCTCATCATAATGTGAAATATGCTTCTTTGTTGCCAACATAATATCCCACTTGGTCCATCATGAAGGAGTTCCTGTTAGAAGGGAGCTTAATTCGAGTTGTGTATTTGAAACACATTTGAATTAAAACACACAAAAGCAAATTCAAAGGTGCTTGTACAAAGAACAATGAAATGGTTTAGTCTCTATTGGGCATTATAATATTTTAAAAAGGACAATCTTAGGGCGCATGACTCCCGTCACTACGAGATCTAAGAGGCTTAGATATATGCACACTTACCCCCTCATACAAAGATATTTTTTTTTTTGGTGGGTTGAACCCATAATGCTCGGTTGCAATGGAGCAATTATACCGTTTAAGATTAATCTTACAAAAAAATTACTGAGAAATCCTACCATAATCATGTGACAACAATGCTTTTGTAATTAAAAGCCACCTTGATGGACCAAGTTTGTTCTAGGTGTGGCCAATGCTTTTTTGGGTGAGGTAGTCTTTGTTGTTTGTGGTTGGTTCCTCACCAACTCTTGTGGTGGTGCTAGCATATGATTGTGCGGCCCTGTCGGTGCCAACCTAGTTGGGATTGATAGGGTTCGCTATGATGCTCTTAGCACTCCTCCTCCTAGCCTTTTTTGATGTAATTGTTGTTTTTTCGGTTTCATCAATAAAATCCTTTTCTTTGCTGTTCAAAAAAAAAAAAAAAAGCCACCTTGATGGGTTTTATTATTATTTTTATTTTATATAAATTGAAACCAATTCAACTACACAATTGTACAAAATCATGTATGATTTTTATGTTTACGGCATTACTCTTTTCATGGATCTGCTACCACTGATTCATTTGAAAGAAATTTCACAATACATTCTGCATAAAGACAACTTGTCAATATGATTAATAATTTGATTTAGTAAAAAAAATTTGGAAAGAACTTCATGGCCACTTTTTATTTGTATGTTGAGGAGAAAAACAATTAATTGCATCTGAAATAATATAGGGAAATCGCAGGGGACCTATTAGAAAAGATTTTCTCTTGATGCTCAATGGGATTGAAAGATCACTTTTATTTGGTTTGTTTAAATTAATTAGATTGGTAACTGACTCTACATATTTTGTCTTCCTAAGTATGAGGCAGGTAATTGAAAGGCATAATTTGGAATCAGGCAATTTGGTGAATCTAAACCAACCATCTCTGGAGCAGCAGGTAAGATGTTATTGTAATTTTCACACTATTTTACGTAGAGTAATGCTAGAGACCTAAAAAATTCTACCAAATGTCTTACATGGGTGTGGGACATGTGGGTCCCACACCTATGTGAGACATTTGGTAGAAATTTTGGTAAAACTTTTGGGATCTTTAGCATTTTTGTTTTACATATATTAAGGTTCCAATTGGTGTCGGGTAGAGCTGATCAAATGATGAGAAGTAGAAAAAGAAACAACAATGACAATAACAAATGTGTAAAATATTGAGTGATTTGCGTCAAGAAAACTCAATACAGTGATTTTCTGATCTTTCTTTCTTCTTTTTCTTAATCATGGGAGACCCTTTTTATGAAGTAGACTGGTTGTGAAACTTAGCTTCACGGATAAACTATGTTACGTGGACTCAGGTATGACTGTCGTGTATGGTTGCAGGTGCTAGTGTGTGTCCAAACGTCCAATCTTCTTAAACCTTGCAGGTGCAAGTGTGTATTCAAATCTTCTTAAATCTTGCGTCAAATCTTCTTAAACCTAAATTTTAGGATATTGGCATATGCTTCCATATGGGTGTGGAGACACGTCTCAAACACTCGTATATCATGCACAAGTATAATGGAGAAGATGTCATAAATTATTTAGAAATGTACTTTAAATTAAATAAAATTCAAGGAAATTATGGAATTTATATATGTCATTTGTGTGAGAAGCTGGAGATATTTCTTTACAAAAATGCAAAATCTCATTTCAGATTAACAATAACCTAGGGGCTTTGGAGAGTCTTGCATGTGGCAAGATTTGTACCCTTGACCTCCTAATTAGGTGCAAGATTTCTGCCAAATTAGGCTAGTCCCAATTTGTTGTATCGCTTATTTTTATTATTATTTTGCTATGTATAGACTTGTTTGATACTAGAATATAAAAATTGGAACTTTAAGAAGCTTTTGTATAGAAGAGCCTTTATTATGCACTAATTGGCTAATAAGGTTTAACTAAGTTCCTAAACAATTTAGATCTTCAAAGCATATAAGAAGTAACATTTTACAATTCACAGCATTTAATCTCTCTCTCTCTCAACTTCCTAACATGCAAATTGATAGTATATGACCTCCTAACATCCAATCTTTATGCAAATAACACACAAGCTAAGTTGGAGATTGTTGTGAATTGTTTTGTATTTGATTGACTCGATTCTAAAACCCACTTTAAATTATTTTAGTCATTTCTTATTTTTTTAATATGGACAGAGATGTGGGTTGTAATGTAGAAATCTTATGTATGAGGTTTTGTAGAAAGGTCAGGAGTTTCTTGTGAAACCCTTCTCTTCTCGTTGATGTAAGCAATTGCTACCAAGTTATTCTTGTGTTTTGTATGTTCGATTTTTTCTACTTTAACTTATTTGTGTGATGTGGGTGTCTTCTATGAACAATTTTACTTATCTAAGTCAATGTAGAGTGATTGCTCCATCCAATTTACGAGAATTATATTCAAATAAAATATAAATACATAATTATTGAGTTGATTAATGTTCCTACTTGTGACTCGTATTACTTTTTGAATGGAAAAAATAACATGACAAGGGTTTCTTAGATTTTTTTACAGAGGATATATAAGTACTGATAACTGAACCGAAATTCCTAATTTTAGTTCATTTTAGTAGATAAAAAAATAATTATAGAACCATTTCAAGCATCCTTAACTTTAATTAGAATTTATATTTTTTTGATGTTTGTTTGCAAAGAATTAATTATTTGATTGCATCTATTTGCTGTGATTTGCTATGAGAAAAATGGAAGGAAGGTAATTTTGTTACTGCAGTTACAGCTTATATATTAACTAAATTTTATGAACAAAATCTCGGTGTTCTTGTTTAGCTCGAGAATAGTGGGTGTACCATTTTGAGCAAGGAAGTTAACAAGAAGATTCATGAATTGAGGTATAATTGCGTTCCACTTAAAACTCTACTCCTATACAAGCATTTATAACAATGTTATTTTTTTTAAAATAAAAAATTAAAAAAATTATCCATTTATGATAGACAACTGAGGGGAGAAGAGCTCCAAGGACTTGATGCGGAAGAGTTAAAGAATCTAGAGAAATCACTTGAAGGAGGATTAAGCCGTGTATTAAAGACGAAGGTTTGTGTCATTTTGTTGTCTTCCTTTCCGGTGTTTTCATTTTTTTTTTCTTCTATTTTGTAGTTTTAGTGCTAATAGAAGGTACTTTGTACTAATTTCAGGGTGAGATAATGGAGAAAGAAATCACTGCCCGTGAGAGAAAGGTCAGAAACTTCTAATTGTTGTAACGCAATTCATATAGTTGTCAAAGAGAAAATAGGTTAAAAAGAAAAATGATGAGGATGGATTTCATCTTCTTTTTTCTTTTTCTTTTTTTGAGATCAGCAAAAGCAGGATTTTATTAAAGTGCAAGAGACACATAGTATTGCACAAAGATACAGTATCAAAGTAATACATTTGCTTAAGAAACAAAATAATTGTTGTAATAATGATAATTCTAATTTCTAATGCAATCAATTAGTATAAACCTGTGAATTATGGCTACAAGATTGGCATTGGAGAATTATCATTTGGCCAGAATCATGAATATTTAAGGAGTTTGGTAAAATCAAAAAAGTGGAAAACCAGAAATATTATATTAACTTCATAATAATTGGGGAATGATAAGGAAATATGTGATCATGTTGAGAAGTTTATGGCTTATTTGGTTGTGTTTTCATTTTCGTTGTTTTTGTTTTTTGTTTTTCATGTTTCGGAAACTAAAGCAATGAAAAGTTTAAAAACATCCATTTTTTTTATATTCATGCGAAATAATTTTTTCCTTCCCTTCCCTTTTCCTTTGCCTTCACAAATTTTAGATCCAAATACAGCCTTAATGAAATGTATCAAGAACTTCAAAACTCAATCATACTTAATTTGATTTATGTGTTTTTCATGAATGGTTAACATGCAACATGCAGGAAGCCAGATTGGTGGAAGAGAATGTGTGGTTGAAACAGAAAGTGCCAGTGAGAATTTGAATCTACTTTTCAATCTTCTGTTTTTTGCTTCTTTTTTTTTTTTATTTAAAAAAAAAAAAACTTTTAGGTTGCCCTAAACAGGAAGGTTATTAAAATTAAAATTTTCAGATGGAGATAGTGAAGATAGGACAAACACATGATGATCAACAGGGCCAGTCTGCAGAATTTATCACCAACAATGGCAGCTCAGCAGCTCCTCCTCAAGACAATGGCAGCTCTGACACTTCCCTCAAGTTAGGGTAAATTTGCTATATCTACATTTGCATATGTATGCATGCATTCAAACATAAATTATATCTATCAGATCTAATTAATTGCACATTTCATTTAATCAATAAGTGCACTTGACAAATGGATCTATACTAACATTATCCTAAGATTTGTCCATTTTTACCCCTTGGGTTATGTTTGGATTATAAAGGGATTTGTGGAGAAAAAATAAAATAAAAGGGAAAAACTAGAAGAAAATGAAGTGAAAGTTTGCTCCTGTTTGATTGTGTTTTCTTTTTCTTTGTTTGCATTTTTCATTTTTGGGTTTTCAGAAACATTTTTTTTTTTTTTTGAGCCATTAAAATAGTCCAGTGGTTTAAGGCTCTTATGTTTAGCTCCTAAAAGAATAAACAGTTTTGCCAGACAATGTTTTCGGAAAAATAAGAACACAACCAAACATGCCTCCTTTAATAACTTCAAGATCCAAACATATTGTTGAAGTTATGTATGTCAAACATATTTATAAATTAAAAAAAAAGTTATGTATGTCAAACATATTGTTGAATGATTGTGAACTTGTGATATCTCAGTTTGTAATCTAAATCCTTAAACTGGCATTCTTTGCTTGAAATCTACCAACTTAACTGTTTGCTCATTCAAAAAATAAAAATAAAATATTCCCACTTTTTTGCAGACTACCTTTTCCAGAACTGAATTTGAGGGCTAGGATGATCAATGCATGATAACTTTGGTAAGTAATAAGATAGTATAGAGTCTGAATCATTGTTTTCAATATATATATGATGTGTATCAGTGTATGTTTTGAATTCAGATCCAATTTCTCTAGCATTCAACAAGTAAAATTTCACAATCTGTATATTTGAGAATTTAAGTTTTGGATGGTTGGCTTTTGTATGTAAATAAAGTAAAAGCATTGAGAATCTGAGATGAGCTAAATAGAGATTTACAGCAAGTTAATGAGCATTCAAGCACATATGATAAATGGAGGTGCCAAGCAACATCTGCAGCACCTGTTAATGTTGCCCTAGATTGGTAGTATTCAAGGTTTTTTTGATCTTCTATAGATTTGAGTAGTTATCTGAAAAGAAAAAGTGAAAATATGGGTAAAATGTGAAATTATTCTTCTTTTCAAATTTTTACAAATCTATAATCCAAATACTTACGGCATTTATGGGCTGGTCCTATCCTATTAACGAGACTTATTCAATTTTTCTTTGTTTATTACTTTCTATGAGCTCTTTCTTAAGTTGATTGATAGGCTTTTCTCTGTTGAGTTGGTTGTTAAGTTATATATATATATGTATATATGATTAGCAAAAGAGATTTTATTGATGAATGAAGCAAAGACCAATGTACAAATACAATCACATCAAAAAAAAAAAGGGACAGTGCAAAGAGTATCATAGTGAGCAAAAATATCCCAACTATGTAGGCATCAAATTGCTTATCCAATCATTTGCTAGCACCATGCTAAGTTAGTGAGAATCCAACCAAAAGACAAAACACAAAATTTTAGGTAGTGTTTGGTAGAGTTTTGTAAATGTGATTTGAGAGTATGAGTTGTATTTTGAGTTTGTGTGTTGTGGAACTATGATTTGAGTGTAGAAAATTTGTTTGGTAAAGAGTTTTGAAAATAGTTTTGGAAAAGAGGTTTGATTTGAGTGGGAAATTATTGATGTGACATTTGATATGTGATACAAAAATTTACAACTCATAACTAAACATACAATTCAAAATTATTTTAAAGCACATAAAAAATTAAAAAAAATTCAGAAAATATTTTTTCCGATTATATAAATCAATTGAAAGATAAAAAAAAAAAAAAAAAAAAAATCTGGAACCAGCCGGACATCCGGGTGGTCTACCGGGTGGTCATCCGGGTGGAAAAAAAGGCGCCTGTGCATCAGAGTTCTCTCTGCAGAGTGTAGAAAATTGATTTGAAAACGAAACCAAACATCATACTCCAACACACGGGTAGAAAATTGATTTCAGAGCACAAACAAACAGAGCCTTAGTTTGTCAAGTTTATATCTGTTGAATTGTGATGGTAAAAAATATTATTGCAATTTTGAGGGCAAAAAAACACATGATTTTGAATGAGTCATGGGGAGCTTCTATTTACATACACCCATTCCCCTCTTTACACATCTTTTTCAATAAATAATTGGTTCGGAAGTAGATTTCCGAAAATAAGCAATTGGTTCGGAAGTAGCTTTCCGAAAATAAACAATTGGTTCGGAAGTAGACTTCCGAATTTTTATTATTTTTTCGACAATCAACTTCCGAATGGGTTTATTTGATGTTTATAATAGTAATTTCACCTGAAAAAAAAATTTATAATAAAAATAATTTTTATGAAGTGTGTGCAAAGAGGGGAAGGTGGATGTGTAAATAGAAGCTCCCTGAGCCATGGTGTTAAAGACACAATTTCTCAAGCAACCTAAAATTAACCCTACGCAGGAGTTTCCTCTTTTTTAACTTTTTCTTCTTTTTTTTTTTTGTTGAAAATACTTCCAAAAACAATCCCGTTAGGTAACTCGAAATAGTCAAGGCTCGAGTCGCTCGAGGTGTCGTTTTGGCACCTTTTTTTTTTTTTTTTCCTTTTTCCTTTCCATCTCTTATTCTCTTTACTCTCTCTCTCTCTCTCTCTCTCTCTTTCTCTATCTCTCTGTCTCTTTGTTGGTCTCATAAAACCAGCTGTCAATGGATTCTCTTTCCTCTCTCTTTTCCAAACCTCTCATGTGTCGTTTTGGCACCATTTTTTTTTCTCCTTCCTTCCCATCTCTTCTTCTCTCTACTCTGTCTCTCTCTCTCTCTCTCTGTCTCTATTGGTTTCATAAAACCAGTCGCCAATAGATTCTCTCTCCTCTCTCTCTCCTAAACCTCTCATGTTTCACTTGTTCTTCACCATCATCTTTCTTGGCCAATCTTTGTAACCCAGGAATAATCTCAACTCTACAATTTTTTTTTTATTTTTTCCTTTCCTTCCCCCTAACTTGTCTATGAAACTGGTAATAAAGGCGAGAGAAAGAGAGAAGAGGGAGAAAGCGAGAAGAAAAAAAACAAAAGGGGAGGAGGAGAGAAGAAGATGTGAGGCAGAGTTGTTGGATTTGATTAATTCAAAGGGAGAAAGCTTGATTTGAACGAATCAAACAGAGGGAAAAGAATTACTCTCTCAATTTTTTTTTTCTTTTTCCTTTCCCCTCTGTTCTTCCATTGTTCTTTCTTTCTCTTCTTCCTTTTCAAAATCAAAATCAATTTCTGTTTACCAAATAGAATGTAAAATCAAATCAAATCCAAAACCAAACCAAAAATCAGAATTAAAATTAAAGTCAAAATCAAAATAACAATCGAAACCTCAGAATCGAAATAGATCCTCCTTTGTCTTGGTCTTCTTCTTCTTCCTTCTGAAGATGGAGGAGAGAGATAGAGGCATTTTTCTTCTTGGTCTTCTTCTTCTTCCTTCTGGAGATGAAGGAGAGAGATAGAGAAAAGAGAGAGAGAGAGAGAGAGAGAGAGAGAAAAAAAAAAGAAAAAAAAAAAAGAGGAAGTCGGGCCATTTGAGCCTTAACTATTTCAAGCTACAACACATTTTCACTTCCAAAAATGAACTTCTTACCGAAAAATGCTCCGTAGCTCGAGAAAGTAAGGCTCGAATGGCCCGAATGGTACGGAAAATATTATCTTACCAATAAGAGAATCAAAAAACATCCTAAAACGACGTCGTTTTGAGATTTCGAACCACTCAAACCATGAAAAATTCGAGCTACCAAATAAAGTTGCTTCTTACCCGTCCATTTTCCAAAGTTTCTCATTTGTGTGAATCTAAGGCCACAACTGCTTATTTTACTCACAAGTATAAAACAATTTTTTATAAAATATTTATCGAAGCTTACCTAACTTCATGGAAAAGAAATGTGGCAGATACTTCCAAAAGATATGCTTGATTCTATTGCAAGTGAATTAGTTTATGCATTTTGAATTTTATTAATTTACATATTTTTTACACATTGTTTTCCAAAAAAAAAAAAATCAAAAAACTAACTTTTAATTATCTTCTTCAAACAACTTTTTGATCATCAGTCTTTCATTGACTCATATTAAGAAATAGTAAGAGATCTTTTTCTAGTTAAAATTAAAGTGATTTTGTATGGAAAAAAAAAATCACATTAAATGGACAGTAAAAAAATCACAACTTTTTGATTTTTTTAATCTTTTTCAAATAAATTTTGTATGAAAAAAAATCAACGGTGAAAAATAAATGATTGACAAAAATTTAATTTGATCACATAGTTATCAATGTACGATCAATGTGATTTTGTATAAGTATATAGTACTCGACGAGTTCTACACATTGAACGGTTCGGATTATCGAAACGGAGCTCGTAATGAGCTCTCACAAGCCCAACAATACCTTCCAATTCAATTATACTCCCTCCGTCCCAAAATATTAGTCCCTTATTCCATTTTTCATTGTCCCAAAATATTAGTCCCTCTTCCAAAATCAAGTACAAAAATAATATAAATTTCTTATTTTGCCCTTCTTTTAAATTAATAAACAATATAAAAAGTACAATTATGACATTGATATTCTCAAAAAATGTACTATCAAAAGGGTATTTTTGGAAAATCAACTTTTTTCAAATGCAATAATTGTACTACCAAAAAAAGTTGAATTTCCCAAAAAGAACCATTATTTTGGGACGGAGGGAGTATCTAATTTTTTCATAAGATATATGAAAAGTATCTCACGAACCCACACATGAGCTTGGGCCCACACATGAGCTTGTACCAGAGGGAACAATTTTGGCTTGTACTTTTTTTTTTATACTTTTTTTAGTAAATAGTAATGACTTTTTTTTTTTTTTTAATAACTTTTTATCTTTTATACACTATTCCAAACAAGAAAAATGAGTGGAAACACTAATTAGTGCTACTACTAATGATGTGGCAATGAGTCTCACCCATTGCCACAGTATTTTTGTGCCTTGCTTTTTTTTTTTTTTAATAAATGTCAACTCATTAGTTTTTGTGCCTTGCTTTTGTAAGAAAATGTTTGAGGATCACAATTTTTGTAGTCATAATGGCTCAAAACTGCAAAAGCGATGTCGTTTTGGCATGTTTTGCACCCAAAACGACATCGTTTTGTCAGTTTTGAGCCATTGTGGCCACAAAAATTGTGGCCCTATAACATTGTTGTTTTTTTTTTTTTAATAAATGTTAACTCATTAGTGATATTTTAGAACACAACTTTTAATGGGATGTGACGTTACTGTTCCAAACAATCACTTAATCAATAAAAGAACCATCCCTCTATTATTTTGTCATGTCAAGGTGACTATCCAGCACCGTTCAGAGAGCAACTTTAGTCCGCGTTGCTGAATGAAAACTCCTATCAAGGCATTATTTGGCAATTTTTTATTATTTTAGGTTAAAAAGAAAAATGATGAGGATGAATATTTTTTATTTTTAATATTTTATTATATCTTTTTTAGATTCATCTTTTTATTTTTTTATAAAAAATAAAAAATATACTTATTATTTCGAAAGGCCTCCAAATAAGAAAGAAGCAGCTATTCCCTCCCAGCACCACGGAGTCACCATGGACTCTACTGTAGGTGCTCGAAATTCAGGAATATTTTAATTGAGGGGGAGTGGATAAGTTCAAACTAAAAGGGAAGGAAAAAAGATCTAATGTCGTAGAAAATAATAAATTTTATAAATATATATTTTTAAAAATATTAAAGATTTTAAAGGTTTCATTAAATTTTTTGTCAAATATCTTATATGGTGTGGAACTCACATGGGATCCACATCCCCACATTCATATGAGATCTTTGATAGAAATTTTAATAAAATTTTTAGGCTCTATTTGTTTGTATTTTCAAAATATGATTCTATATAATGATTTTAGTATGGTGTTTGGAACGTATTTTTAAAACACGTTTCCAAAACTCTACAGAACCTGCACCAGCCGCGCTTTTCAGATTTTTTTTTTTTCAAATTTTTGCCTAACGGGACGTCTGGCCGGTTGTCCGGAATAGTGATTTTTTTTTTCAATTGATTTATATAATCGAAAAAAATATTTTCTGAAATTTTTAAAAAATTTTATGTGCTTTAAAATAATTTTGAGTTGTATATTTAGTTATGAATTGTAAATTTTTGTATCAAGTATCAAATATCAAATGTCACATCAACAATTCCCCGCTCAAATCAAAACTCTTTACCAAACAAATTTTCTATCCTCAAATCATAATTTCAAATTTCACAAACTCAAAATACAATTCATACTCTCAAATCATAATTACAAAACACAACCAAACGCAGGCTTTAAATTTCTAACATTACTCACATATTTTTACAAATGTCAAAAATTATTAGTATGTAAAAAAAATTTAAATTTAACAATATATATATATATATATATATAGATAGATAGATACTCTTACACGTGTTTGTTGAGAGGGACAAAATTAGAATACGAGAATTGGGGGTGCAACTCGAACGGGTTCGGTCGGGTTGAGAGGTTATTCAAGTCCAGCCCAAGCTCGAATTGTAACCCGAAGTTGTCTGTCCAAGCCCGACCCAAGTTAAACCCAAATTGCCCGAGTTGTAAATGATTTTTTTTTTTTTGCAGCTACATTATTAAATTATTAGTGATGATATCTTCGCATATCGATATTAGAGTTTACAATTTTATTTATTTATTTATTTTTTGAAAAAAATATCAAATGTTTTATATTTTCTGTAAGCTTTAAAATAATTATGTTGTAAATGATGATTTTTTTTCTTTTTTGTTTCTTTTTGCAGATGCAAACCTTTTGAGTACGTGATATCTTCGCATATCGATATGGGAGCTTACTATTGATATCAAAACAAGCTACACTATATCTGTTTTTATTTTTTTATTTCTATTGTATATTATTCGGGTTTCGGGTTGCTCGGATTATTTGACGTCTTTGCCTAAGCCCACCCAAATTTAATTCGGGCTTTTGAATTTTTGCCCAAGCCCGTACCGAATTTGAAAATATTTTGTCTAAGTCTTAAAAAAATTCGGACTGGGCTCGAGTTGCTCAGATTAAACCTGCCCAAATTACACCCTTAACGAGAACATACAGATTTTTTCTTATTTTGCATTTGTTTTGGTCGGATGACTTTCACTTTTCTTTATCTTTTATTATTTTTTGAAATTATTTTATAATTAAATAATATAAAATATAAAATAAATATTTTATAAATAAACAGACCGGGTTTGACTAACTAAAGTTCTTCATCTCACTCAGTCCAAATATTAATTGCATATTTTTTTAAATAATATTTTATAAATGAAGCATTCGGATTTGATTAGCTAAAACTAAAACTATTTATCACAAACTCAGTCTGAAAATTAAATGAATATTTTTTTAAATCCTAAAACTATTGAGCTGGATTGGGGGGACGGGCCGGGCTAATTGAGCCATAACCATGCTCAGTTGTATACGGTGGTATTATATGTACTAATTAATGTATTATGTTATAATATAAAATTTAAAATTATGTCATATCCATTGATATAGACATATAGTATTATGAAAAATATTTGATGGCTCGAATTTGTGTGGTTCAAATGATTTGAATACAACGTCATTTTTAATGTTTCGGGTAATTTTAACCAAGAAAATTTGAGTCACCTAGCATTGTTATAATATTTTTCAGTTGTCTATCCACAGTCTAATGTGTCAACCTATGTGGCATTCGCTGAAAAGCACGGATCCTGTAGAGTTTTTTTTCCTAAAGTTTCCTAGAGTGGTGCATTGTGTGGTTGAGATTTAATGACAAGTCACATCAATTTTTCAATATTAAATCTCAACCACACAATACACCACTTTAAGAAACTTTAGAAAAAAAATATTTTAGGGGATCCTTGGTGTTCGCTGAATGGATGTAGAGGATGGTGACCTGGCACCGAATCTAATCAATTTTAGCGCGCTTTAAGTCTACCATACCAATCAGAGTAGTAGAAGAGGCCTCTGGCTGGTTCGAAGCAATTTCGTGTTTTTTGACGAAGAGAAGAAAATAGGTGCGGCCCCTATTGTAGAGAGAGAAAGTAAGAAATTTCTAGAGAGAGAGAGAGATGGAGGACGAGAAGGTGAAGAAGGAGGCGATGGAGATAATGGGAATTTTTCAAGAGCTGCCTCGTTTGGTCGTCTTCGATCTCGACTACACTCTCTGGCCTTTCTACTGGTAAACTTTTCATTATTGATTCTTCACTATATATCTTCGTTTCAATCTCACACTTTCAAGTTTTCGAGTTCTTTGATTTCAGTTTTTGCTACATTTTGTTTTCTGATTGTTCGAGTTTTCTGTTGAATGTTGTTTTCTTTGCAGTTAATTAGTAAATATTTAAATGAATATACGTGAACATATATATATATATATATATGGTTAAGGAATTTAAGCAAAGGATCACAAGCGATTGAAAATATTGATTTGTTAAAGAGTAGTGGTCAATAGAAGCAACAGATCACAGAATGATCTACAGAAATTGCAATGGATGGTTGGGATTAAAAAGAATGGATCACAAAACGTGTATTTGTATCACAAGCTGAGATTTATTTTGAATGTCAACCTTACTATAACTGGATTTAATCCCACCCATCCATTGCATTTGTTTGGACCATTCTATGATTCATTTTTTGTGTTCCTAGCATTACTCAGTTGACAGATCTTCTATATTGAAAAATTATTGGGTGGTCCTGTGACACTACCTAGCCATACTCTAAAACCATCACAAACTCCTAATCACCCAACACTTCCTCCACCAATCACGATGTATATAAAGCGCCTGGTGACACTGTCCTGGACCAACTAATAACTTCTTCTATATTTGTTAAAAAGAATTAGGTATGAAAATCTAATTTAAAAGATAATCTCGAGGTCTAGGAAGAACTTACGAGTTTTCTTACTAAAGCCATGCAATTTTAAATATTATTTCTTAAATTTATGTTTGTGAAGACAGTCATGTTTTCAAAATATGACCAAGGATGGAGTTGTTTTATGGAAAAAAAAAAAAAACTTAAAATGGTTTTACAATAGGCTATATGAAGTTGTGTGTTTTATGACTTCATTATTGTCGTGTTTTAATAATACACCTTTAAAGTTTTGAAATTGTGTTTAAACACATGAATTCGACAAATGACATGGCTTTGGTAAATATCCTCAAAAACAACTTGTGTCATGGAATTACTTTAAAAATGTATTGCTCTCTGCCTCTTTGGGATGCAAATTGCAACCTAAACAACAAGATTAAGTGACTCTCATTTGAAAAGAGCAAAACTGAGATACATTTCTTGAACATTAAAAGTTGATACCTTTCTTCTTTCAGATGGGAATACATATTGACGTTTTTCAAATTGAGACTGAGCAGCTAAGCAAATAAATACATGCTTTATCTCCACCACTGCTCCAACTTTTTACATTCTTAGTATTAACATGATATAACATGTTCTGATCTTGTGAATACCTGAAAAATAATTGGATTTACTATTTGTTTATCTTTTCACTATGATAAAGGAATGGAGTTTTCCAAAGCATTTTTGTTCTGATAGTATATTACATTGTGCCATATATGCAGAAGTTTATTTGTGTACCAAAAAAAAAAAAATATGCAGAAGTTTATTTGTGTAAAAAAAAAAAAAAAAAACCTAGAAAATTGTGCTTTTTATTCGTTGGGCGATTTTATTTAACAGAATTGCTCGCCTTTATGTACTCAAAAGCTTGATCTTAAAGTGGGCAAACTTTATACAAAATAAGTAGTCATCGTTGCTTTGTCGCAACTAATGATATTGATAGAGATATTGGACGGAAACATGATTGAAGGCAGTTCTATGGAATTAGTAACAAATTTACTACATGAGTCTCCTTATCATGTGGATCCTTTGATCTTCACCTGATATGTTTGTCTCTCTACCACCATGGCTTTGTTAAGGATAATAAGGAATAACTAATTAATTTAGTTTGAATTTCCGAATTTATGATGTTTTATTTTGTTACTTATGCTTCCACATTTCATTTTCCACTTTGATCTGCTTATTATGTTTCTCCAACCAATGTCTAGAATATTATCTAATGTTAATGCAAGTGTCTGCTCATTCGTCAGTGAATCTCGATCCAAGCATGAAATGCCATCATTGTTCCCCCATGCACAAGGCATCCTATATGCACTTAAGGACAAGGGAATCGATGTCGCCATTGCATCTAGATCGCCAACTGCCGATATAGCAATGACATTTCTTGAGAAATTGGATGTCAGATCAATGCTTGTAGCCCAGGTGAGCTATTCGGAATGCTTTCAATTTTGTTGTTCAATTCAGCTTTTTAATACTTCAATTTTTTTTTAACTTACATAAAAATGCCTGAAACTGTTTATGTATGATACTTAAGGAGATCTTTTCGAGTTGGACACACAAAACAGAGCACTTCCAAAGAATTAATAGGAGGACCGGGGTGCCTTATAATTCAATGCTCTTTTTTGACGACGAGGATCGCAACATAGAAGCAGTAAAAACTGCCCACACTGTTGATTTTTAAAAACTTTGTCATATTAAATCTGATATTTTATCGGGGTGTTGTGCAGGTTTCGAAAATGGGAGTGACCAGCATCTTAGTTGAAGACGGGGTAAATCTTGAGGCTTTGAGGGAAGGGCTCATGAAATTTTCTCAAATTCCAGGTTCATCAAATGCCTCCTAGCAGACACATTCCCTAAAGAGTCTCAAGTTCGAGTACCCTTAATTTGCCTATCAAAAACAAATTTAAAAAAAGGTGGTTCGTCAAATAGAGTAAACAAAAAGAAGTAGTGTTTTTTTTGTTTATTTGCACTACAATTTGAGCCATTGAAATTGTTCTGTGTTGGCAGGGATACTTTTGCCAATGCACATTGAATTGTTTAATCACACATTGTCATATGGATACCTAGGTATTGATTAGTTTCTATTGTCATATTTATACAGATTGTTGCCAAGGAATTATTTTGTTGGTAGTATGAAAATTATGAAATTTCAAAGATTTGCCGAGATAAATTACTCTTTTATCTCCTGAGCTGTGGGGCTGGTCACTAACTCTATAGAGAGAAATTTCACAGGTTCCATCACAATCTCATCACAGAGAGACTTCCAAATTTGCAATTACAGGAATCTTATAAGAGATTGCAATCTTCACCGCAAATGAGGCAGTTTTTTCATAGCAAAATCAAAGGATAATAGGGTTGCTTGCAGCATGTAACCCAAGAAAATGCAAAAAAAAAAAAAAATTGACAAGGAAAATGACTCGACCCCAACTCATGTTATATGAAAGCAACTAGTAAGTTGCGCATCCAAAAAAGAGAGTATATTTATATGCATACACTCATTCTTAATATAGATTGTGGAACATTTTTTGAGTATGTATAGCACCCATTTACACATCTCGAACTCCTCCTCCATTAAACTTACAATCCCAAGACTCGACCCTCTTCATTAGTTGCAAATCCTCCTTCCTCTTACTCCTGCTCAACAGAGCAATGTTTTTGTGTGTCCAACTGCTCTCTTAGAACGAAATTTTATGTACCCTATCTATGGTAGTTGCGTAGTTGCATTTCTGCTTTTTCAATAAACGGCTTTGAGTAAACTGCAGCAACCTTCTAACTCCCATTTACAGTTCCTGTATTTCTTTGTCTGTTCACTTTTTCCAACCAAGAATTCCATTCAGGTTCTTTTTCTTTGAGATTCATAGAACATTGGCTATATAACATTACTCCAAACCTTGAAGTTTGTTTTGCATCTTTTTCGCTTTTTTCTCTCTTTTTTTTTTGGTGAGATATCTCTCCTCTTCCTGATTCTCCTGCTCAATGTGGGCAATTCTGTGTGGAGAGGGTCGCTTTTGTTCCCAATGCTTTTTCTTAGCTCTGCAGTATCTTCATCCCTTGGAAGGGTCGAGTTTTCAATCTTTTAATTTGGTTCTTGAAGCTCCAAAATTACATTCTCAAATGTCATTCTTGGTTCAAAAACACCTCTGCTTCCAGAATCTTCTCGTGCGATGGGGTCTGATGGAACATTTTTAACTCACTATGAAGGATTTCCAAAAATCTAGTTTGAGAATCCAATTTTTTTTTTCCTTTTTGTTTTTGGGTAAAGAGAATCCAAGTTTGATTGCAATGAACATATATATCCCTTCAAGCAGTTCTGATTTCTCCCTCTTGTATGCGACCTTACGTAGTTGGAACTGATCTTGAAGCCTCTTGCGAGCTTCTTCAGGACATTTAAATTGTTCACTCTTTCATTCCGACTGATCTTGAACATTCCTACTTTGTCGCAGCTTATTCTATACTAAAAGTTGATCATCTATAACCAGAATTTAAATTCCTGATAATCAGTTTTTCTAACTTATTTTAGCTATTTTACTGCATAAGTTGTAAACAGAAACTACATCGCATGGTCTAATACAAAATCCTCAAAAAAAACACAAGCATCCCATTTAAGCTGCAGCAATAAGCAACATCTCTCCAAAACCTTTGCTTTACTGGTTTCTCTCCCACACATCCGAAACAGACAAAACAGTTGTTGAACTAATGAAAACACCCTGCAATACCAAACCTTTTGCCTCATTTAAACATCTATAAGAACGTCACAGTTCACCAAAATTCCATACCAGACAGCATTTGCTGCAAACTATAATCATGAATTGTGGAGCAACTACAGTTCAGTTAACAATGGACACCAATTCACCATTTTAACAAAATTTGTGAGGAGCATGTGATGCTTGTCTTTGAACATGTATTGCTCTTTGTAAATGTGTGTACAAGGAAAAAGAATCAAATGAGTGCTAGTTTTTTTCACAAATCTACATAATTCTTACAAAGAATTGACCCTAGTAAGGTTTCTATCTGATGAAAACAACACACTATTAGAACAAGTATACAAACATGAAATTCATGATCAAGACGAAAAACTCACTTTTCTAGCTTCCATCTTCTAGTTCAAGCTTGAACACTGGGATGGTGTTGGATCCTAGTCCCAATTCTTAACCCCTTTCTTCAATCAACAATGCTTCAAGTTCCTCTCTACGCTGCTCCAATTCCTGCAATTGATAACACAAGAAAGTTATGATGTGATTCATAAGAAAATCGACGTGTGTACTACTAAACTGAAACTAGTAACAAATCAAAACAACAGCATTACCGGATATCTAAAAAACAGAAAAACTAATGCCCCATATTTCTCACTAATTATAAGGAATCCAAAAGAGAATATGAACTAGCCACCAGAAGAGTAACACGAACATTTTGTTGGTTACACAGTATGTTTCACTGTGATTCACCAATCATAAGGAATCCAAAAGAGAATATGAGCTAGCCATAGGAATATGTAACATGAACATTTTGTTATGCATTATGTACAATCCAAGCAACTCAAGTTCAATGTTTGCAATGACTTATCAACAAAAAAAAAAAGTTCAATGTTTACAATGAAGCTCCAGCCATGTAATAGTTCATTCCTACACTACACTAAGATGTTAAGAGACATATAGTATAGGTACTGAATTGAATGTTGCAGAACGAATTGAATGTTGCAGAACTAAGTCTCGAGTAAAGCTTATTTTTCAGCTTCAAACATCAATCACGACCACTTGCTCACCACAATAGTACACATGACTGCTTACTATCTTGACCAAGAAATCACATGCACAAAATATCATCATGCTTAGATGATTATAGAGCAGTTAAATTTGGAGAGGACCTCCAGGGCATCAAATATAAACAAAAAAAATAAAACAAAAAAAAATGACAATCTGATTGTCTTACTTAAGAAGAAGAAGAGTGGGGAAAGCGAAGAATCTCATTAAGCAGATGTCACAACTGAAGATACAGCATACTATTGAATAGAGGAACGGAAATAACAAGAAGCTTGGGCATGGTCTGTGGATATATGCTAGCTTACCTGCAGATCCTTAACAGCTTGATCTCTTGAAACTTCTTTCTTTTGGCGCTGACGTTTGATAAGGCCAATGCATAAAATTCCCTGAATTTGATATTGAAATACATATTAGACATAATCAATGATTAACTCTACATGGGTACAAATCATAGCTCGAACCAAAAGATAGTGTGCTTAGCCAACACACAGGACAAATTCTTCATCAGTTCTTCAATATCATTCATGATACGAGCAAAACGGGAAATCACAAAGATCACAAGAACTGAGTGAAAAGGAAAATGTTGGGAACTTTTTTCTTAAGTACAGTGTTGGAATATGACTTCTGAAAGAATAGCAAAGTTATTATTCAATTTTTCAAACCAACACTTTATTTAAACTCTGTTTTATTCCATGAAAAAGCCAACTTTAGTTCAGCAAATGAGTGACAACTGAACCATGGCAGGGCAAATTTCTATATCATAGATTCATATTGAAATAATTGACCCACCGAGATAAGATAAACAGCACCACAAGCAAGAAGCATGTAGCTTGCTATGTTTTGTAAAAAAATGAGCTCCTTCCGTTCCCCAGAGTCCTCAGGGTAAGCTCTTGTCATCACCGCAACACTGAAAGTAACAATAGTGACCTATGATTCACAAACAGAACTAAAATTTCACTAAAATGTGGGATTGTTTCATTGAAAGTTTCCATCAATGATTAAATAGTTTTGTGATAATTTAGTTCTTTTTTCTTTTCTTGGTAGTGATAATTCAGCTCACATTTAGCTTCTTACACAGTAAAGAGCAGTCAAAACTATGCAACCAAGTATCTATTTTTTGGGTAAACAGGTCAACCAATACCCACTTCACGTTACCTACCTTATTGAAAATTAAAATATTTAATATATTCTGAAAACTTGTAACTACATAAAATAAGACCATGTTGGATTTGGATTTGATCATGCCAAGAATCCAACTAAACCAAGTGTTGTCAAAATCGTATGATACGTCTCGTATTGTATGAAAAAAGATACGTATCCATAATTGTTGGTGACCTAAATTGTGAGATACATTTTCGTATCAGACGATTTTGTATGTATCACGATTCAACTCGTATTGCATGATTAAAGCAAGGAGGTAATAGGAATAGCAGGCTAAGTCTTTAGCGAAAATTGAAACGTACAAGATCTGCAGCATACCCCTAGCAGCCCAATACTCCAACACCTGCAAATAATTGATTGAAATCAATACAAGATAATGTGAGGTTTGTGATAAACGAAAGGGTTTCCAAACTAAGTTAGGTTTTACCCAAAATTTGGCATGTAAAGCCAATAACTACAGCGAAGCTATGACGATATGTTTCATGTAAAATTATCAATTATATGAGTCAACATAGATAACAAATGCATAGGTTTTATGAAATTTGTCAAATTTCCACTATAATCTCATGCAACCAACCAAGATCACCTTGTGAAGGATAGTGTGAAGAAAGTGAAATCTGAAATTGATCCAGAATCCAGATACATAAATGCTTCAACACTCGAATCTCTAACATTTTGTATCATATGGACATTCAACTTTCGTAGAACAAATTAAAATCCAAAATTGGAAAGTAAACCTTCCAGAACTTGATGACGAATCCCCATTCTGTCTCGGCAACGACCACGAACATTGCAATCACAACCGCATAGCACCGAAATATGCCATCAAATATCTACAATTATCCACAAAACAATAAATTTACATACAAATCCAGAGGCATATATATATATATATATAGAGAGAGAGAGAGGGGGGGGATTACATACATCAGATCCATCTTTGAAGGAACGAATGGCAGAGAGAATGTTGACAGAGATGCAGAGAATCGCAGCCGCAGAGGTTACGATGCTGAAGCATCGGCAAACGACCAAGAAAGGATCGGGTCTGGATCTAACTCTGATGGCGGCGGAGGCGGAGGCGGAGGTGGAGGCGGAGGCGGTTGAAGCGCCGGAGTTACCTCTCTGCAAGTTCTCTCCCTGTGCGTTGTTTCTCGCCATTTTCTGGGACTTTCTCGGCACCGAGAAAATTTCTGTGTAGCTCTCCAAACACACACGGTAAGAGAAGCCCTAAGCTTGAATTCTCTGCGTCTGTCTCTCTGTTCTCTGATCTGCGAACGTTGTTCTTGAGAGACTGAGCTTTTAATTTTTCGGCTTGGCTTGTTTAATTCTTCACCTGCTGGTCAAGAAATCTGTCGGTTTGTTGACTTGTAATGAAGGGGAGGAATTTATTGTGTAGTTTGGTTTGGGCAAGAATCATTACATTATTACATATGCTGTTAGGGAAATGCTTTTTTATATCAACTTTTTTTTAAGTTTAGTTTGATAAGTTAATGTAGAAAGACAGTCTATATGCGCTTTTTTTTTTTCTTTTTTTTTTTTCTTTTCGGAAATTCCCAAAAATCCTACTTTATTGATAAAATTTTCATTAAAAAATCCTATTCACGTATGAATTAATTCTCTCACTACTTGTTCATAAGATTTTAAGGTTGTTTGGAATGGCCTAAATAAGTATATTTTTTATTTTTTTATAAAAAAATATGCAGAAAAATAGAAAGGTGATGTAATGAAAAAAAAAGATAAAAAAATAGATTATTTGGGATTTCTCAAACTTTGCCTTTATGTAAATTTTATAAGAATGTTGTTTTGAGAACTTGTGTTTTTTTTTTTATTATTATTATTAAAAGATGTACAGAACAATAAATAAAATAATTGATATTTTTTAAATGATTTTTAATTATATTATGTGATTGTCAAATCAACTTGGAAAAAATAAAAAAATAAAAAATAAGGGTGAGGAATCAGTGAAAACTGTTCAGCTTGTTTAGTTTGAATTTTTTAAATTCATTGATTAAAAAATTAAAATTTTTAGTTTTTCATATTTTTTTGTTTTCGTTGAATTTTTTTAATATTTTAAATAATTTTAAAAAAAATTTATATACACTTAACATAAATACATTTAAGAAAATATAATATTTATGAATTTTTTTTAAAAAAAATTCACTAAATACCAAAATTACAAAAAAAAAATGATATTTTAGTATATTTTTAGTATTCTTGTATATTTATTAATTTTAAAAAATATTTTTTTACAAATATTTTAATTTTTAGATACATATAAATAAGATGCATTTAAAAAAAATTAAAATGCTTAAAATTTTAAAAATATTTACTAAAAATAAAAAAAATTTATGGTCATATTAATAAATGTTTTAAATCGTATTAGCTAATAAAATTTAAGAGAAATATTAGAGGTTCATAATGTAAGTCCTGCCATTTACTTACAATGATATAATAAGAAACAGTTCTGATACGTAGTTCGAAATGTCCAAGCTCGAATTTGTCCCGAATTCAAAACGACGTCGTTTTGGAAATTTTTTTTTTTTTTTCTTCTTCTTTCTTTCTCACTATTTTGAAGATGATGATGAAGAAAAAGAAGAAGAAGAAAAGAGAAGAGGAAGCAACTGTAGCTGAACACATCATCATCATCAACAACAACATCTTCATTAACATCATCATCATCAATAGCCAACAAATTTTTTTTTTCTCCCCTCATTTTCAGATCTAGATCCACTAGAAAAATAATAATAAAAAAAAAATAAAAATCAACAACATCTTCATTAGTCAACAAATTTATTATTTTTTTTCCCCTTCATTTTCAGATCCGATTCCACTAGGAAAAAATAAAAAAAGAAAAAAGAAAAAAAGTAGAGTGGTGATCGGCGATACCTACTGGCGATCACCGACATCACCGTCTCCATCTTTTCCCCTTCTTCTCTCTTCCTCTTCCCTTTTTTTCTCTATTCTCCCTCTCTTTTTCTCTCTCTCTCGCCTCTTCTCTTCCCTCTGCATTCAAAAGCAAGAAAAGGGAGAAGAAAAAAAGAAGAAAAAAAAAAAAAAGAAAACCCAAAACGACAGGTTTTGAGCCAATTTCGAGCCAGTTAGTTTCGGGCTACCAAATATTATTGAATAAGAAGATTAGATTTTACGTGGGTATGAGTTAGTGATAAATTTAAAAATTATTAATTAATGTAAATTTTTTAAATTAGATAGGAGTAATATTGGTGTAACTTCTAACAAAATAAAAGTTGATAATAATAATAATAATATATATATATATATATATGAAATTCTCCCCCTACTTTCTGATACTATTATTTTTTAACCATTTAAACTATTTGTACTTGATAAGCTTGAAATCAGACATTTTAACATCAAAAATGATACATTTCACTAATTTGGGAGTACTAATGGATCACTAATGAGGTGGAAATTAAAAAAAAAAAAAACTTAAGGCCAAAACATCACATCAGTCAGTGGAACCCACTCTCTAGAGCTCCTTTAATGCTCCCAATTTAAAACTCCCAAACATTTTTTTTTTAACATTGATTTTCAACCAAAAAACAAGAGAGAGAGAGAGCGCGCACCAAATATTGCCGTTTATATAATTTTATTATTTTTTTATTTATAGAAGCTATTATTGTTGTATCATTAATGAGTTAGATTTTAAAATTCTCCAATTTTATCAATATGTCACGTCTTTGCTATAAACGATTATATAAAATTTATTAAATCGTATAATATTTTTTAAAAAGGTAAATAATATTTATACTTTTTAAAAATAATTTTTCATACTTTATTTGTGAGAAATAAAATTAAGATGGAAACAAAAGAAACGTGAAAAATACAATATGAGAGTGTGCCACGTAATATATGAGTTTACAAGCAATCAATGAGACTGTGCCATAAGAATAAATTTGTGGGCCAAACTTTTCCTGTCACTCAATTTATTTTCCTTAGTTCGACGACTCATTCCTACCCAACGAAGACAATAGCGATTCCCTCACTCCCTCCCTTCCCCTTCCCCTTTTCTCTGATGATGGAAACTGAGAGGGTAATTTGTGTGAACCACAATTGAACCGAGCTAGATGAAATGGATTGCGCACGTTAGGCTGTTCATTAGGCCATGGTAACCTCAGTAAGTGGCCCACTATGCGTTGAGCCTATTGCAGACCAGTCGGAGGTGATTGTTGGACCTTAAACTACGTTACCTAGCGAGTCCACAGCAAAACTATGGTGTTTTATTTCTAGCAGGCCAAGCTATGCGTACCTCAATACAACACAGTGTGTGTTGGGGTGGTTCAGGGAAGGGTATCTCGGTTTGGCGTCAGCAACCGAACGAAGGGTGTGGCCATCTCACTCTGTTCGGCTGTGAATGAAGTGTTATCAGGATAGACACTCTTCACTGGGAGTGTGATTCCTAGGAGGACTCTTATAGGGAGAGTTGGAGTCCTATTAGAATGGTGCCAAGTGAAATCTATAAAAGCTCATAGCAAGACCTATGTACAGGTATCACAATTCTCACGCTAGAACACACAGAGCTTTTGTGTTTATTCTCTATTCACTGACTTAGACATCGGAGAGGTTTTTGACACAAACCCACTGGCTAGCTCACGTTTGTGTTTTCAGGTGACAAAGCGACGATGTTTGGAGGAGTGTGAAATTGATCAACAGGATTATACGAGAAGATTATTTTGTGCTCGTACAATTGGCACCGTCTGTGGGAAGTCACAAAAAGAACAGACCTTTTGATTGAGTTTCCTCTTTAGTTGAAATCTATGGTGCACAATGAAAACTTACCACATTCTGTTATTGATGGATAGACCCCGGAGGGAGGTAGGAGGCACGAAGGTTGACTTTTTATCCCACTTATGGCAGAATTAGATCCCCAGCGGTGGAACCCATGCAGAGACACACGAGAGAGACAAGGCTCAAGCCCTCGTCGCTTTCAGAGCCTTGACAGGTAGAGGCGGAGGATGGATCCTCAGGTTCTGGAGAATCGCGTAAGGGAGCAAGATGAATTAATACGGAGAATGGCGGCAGACATAGAGTCAATGAAGCGCCAGACAAAAAGTAAAGGAGTGGCAACAAAAGAAGGGCGCAAAGGCAACGCACACTCTTGCCACTCATAAGAACGTGACAGGCAAGTCACACCGTCACAAGCTAAAAGTAAAAATCTCAGGGCAGGTGACACACAGTCAAGGACCTCTAGGACTCGTTACTCCAGGTCTAAGAGGCCGAGTACTGAAAGTTCTTATACGGAGGGAAACAGTTATCATCCATCGCATTTACACTAAACAACATCTAGGCACACGAAGCTGTCTAGGTCAGCAGACTTGCATACAGTGCTACAGGAATTGGCTCGAAGGAGAAAAGACACTCAGGCTCGCGACCTCCATAGCGTCACAGCGCTGCAACAGTTGGCTCCTAGAACACATGGGAATGTCGAAGTTGGGATGCCAGAACCACGCCTTGCCTACGAACTAACAGACAAAACGTTAGCGAGTTTGCAGAGCTCGTCATTCGTTCTGGCGATAGAGAATGCACCATTACCCTCAGGCTTCCACCAGCCTAAATTCACTACTTATGAGGAGAACTCAGACCCCTACATGCACTTGAGCCACTTCCGCCAGTTTATGGCCGTGTATCGGCGAAACGAGGCTCTAATGCGTATCCTGTTTCATTTTCATCTATTGGCCTCTTATGTGAGTGTGGCTGAGGCTCTCTCATGTTAGTATAAGTCCATGTTGCATTCTATATGCCATTTTAGCCCTATTGCATTGCATATACCATTGCCTCAGTTTGCGTGCCCGTGTGCACGCACTTCGAGACACTTCATCTTCATCTATCGGCCTCTTATGTGAGTGTGGCTGAGGCTCTCTCATGTTAGTATAAGTCCATGTTGCATTCTATATGTCATTTCCATGCATTTGCATTGCATATACCATTGCCTCGGTTTGCGTGCCCGTGCGCACGCATTTCGAGGCACTTCATTTTCATCCTTCGGCCTCTTATGTGAGTGTGGCTGAGGCTCTCTCATGTTAGTGTAAGGCCATATCATATTTCCATGTCATTTGCATTGCGTATG